TTGCCTTGCAGCGAAAAGGTCCATGGTTCACTTCCCGGCCTGGGATATTTCTGCATGGAGTTTGCTTGTTCTCCCTGTGCATGCGTGGGTTCTCTCCGGGTACTCCGGCTTCCTCCCACAGTCCAAAACCGTGACTGTTAGGTTAATTGGTCTGTCTAAAATGTCCTTAGGTGTAAGTGTGTGCGTGTGTGTGTGTGTGTGTGTGTGTGTGTGTGTGTGTGTGTGTGTGTGTGTGTGTGTGTGTGTGTGTGTGTGTGTGTGTGTGTGCATGATTGTTTGTCCTGTGTGTCTCTGTGTTGTCCTGCGATGGACTGGCTCTCTGTCCAGGGTGTACCCCACCTGATTGCCCATTGACCGCTGGAGAAAGAAGAAGAAGAAGAAAATATCATTTCTATAGCGCCTCTCAAGATAAAAATCACGAGGCGCTTCACAAAAACAAAAACAAAAAAGTAAAAATATAAAAAAGCATTTAGAAAATGTTTAAAAATATATTTTAAATTAGCAAAAATAGGCAATTGGGATTTAAAAGAAAAAATGTTAAGAAAGAGAGAGTGTGAACAGGAAGGAGGGAAATCAGTGGATCCTGAGGAAGGTGGAATAGGTGGGGAGAGCAGAATAAAGAGAGGGGTTGAAGAAGGTCATACAAAAGCCAGCTTGAACAAGTGAGTCTTCAGCTGCTTTTTGAAGGAGACCACTGAGTCCACTGATCTCAGGCTCAGGGGGAGAGAGTTCCAGAGTCTGGGGGCCACAGCAGCAAATGATCTGTCACCTTTGGTCTTTAGCCTGGTGAGCGGAACAACCAGTAGGCTTTGATCACTGGACCTCAGGGACCTGCTGGGGGTGTAGGGACTAAGAAGATCACCAATGTAAGATGGTGCTTGTCCATGTAGGGCCCTATGGACCAGAACCAGGATCTTGAAATGAACCCTGAAGTTGACTGGCAGCCAGTGAAGCTGGAGGAGAAGCGGGGTGATGTGGGTGTGTTTGGATGACTTGGTCAGAAGCCGAGCACAGGCATTCTGAACCACCTGTAGACGGTTCAGGGAGGTTCTGCTCAGACACGTGAAAAGAGAGTTACAGTAGTCTAAGCGTGAGGAGATGAAGGTGTGGAGAACTGTCTCAAGTTCAGAGCGGGACAGAATGGGACTCAGCTTAGCAATGTTCCTGAGATGGAAGAAGGAGGAGCGAACAAGAGAACTGACATGAGAATCCAGGGTGAGAGCTGGGTCAAAGGTCACGACAAGATTCCTGACAGAAGGTTTGGTGTGGGAAGCAAGCTGACCAAGATAGTCTCTGACTTTGGGAACCAGCTTGTCTGGGGCACAGATGAGGTTCTCAGTCTTATCTTCATTCAGCTGAAGAAAGCTCCCAGCCATCCAGGCTTTGATAGAGTCTAAGCAGGTGTGTAACAGCTGCTGCTTAGACATCTCATGGGGCTTAAAGGAGATGTACGGTTGGATGTCATCTGCATAAAGATGGTAGGAGATTCCTTTGAAGGAGCTCAGGATGTGCTGAAGAGGAAGCAGATAGAGGAGGAAGAGCAGAGGTCCCAGCACAGAACCTTGTGGGACACCATGGGTAAGAGTGGTGGTGGAGGACCTAAACTTGGAGATGGCCACAGAAAAGGAGCGCTCAGAGAGATAAGAGGAGAACCACTCCAGAGCAGAACCTGATAGGCCTACCCAGTCTCTCAGCCTCTCCAGTAGCAGGTGATGGTCAACAGTGTCAAAGGCTGCAGTCAGGTCCAGCAGGACCAGAACAGAACAGTCCCCTGCATCACTGTGGGTCAGAAGGTCATTAGAGACCCTAAGAAGAGCTGTTTCAGTAGAATGAGCTCTACGAAAACCTGACTGGAAGCTATCATAGATGTTATGTTCATCAAGAGAAACTGTGAGTTGTTAAGCCACAACCTTTTCCAAGATCTTGGAGATGAACGGAAGTTTAGAGATGGGTCTGAAGCTGCAATGGAGAGAGGGGTCGAGACTCGGTTTTTTAAGAAGCGGGTGGATGACAGCGCTCATAAAGTAAGCAGGGACCTGACCAGAAACCAGAGAAGCATTAATAATGGAGAGCACGCTGGGTCCGATGGACTGAAAAGCACTTTTAAACAAAGATGAGGGTAAGATGTCGAGGGGGCATGCAGAGGTCTTCATAGAGTTAACTAGTTTGGTTAGCTCAGGAAAAGAAACATGAGCAAAGCTATCCAGGATGATGGGCCTGGTTGGAGTCGGGAGAGGCAGAGATAAGGCTGAAGGAGAGATGCTAGATCTAACCTTATTGACTTTGTCCACAAAGAAAGACAGAAAGTTCTCACAGTCTGCAACAGAGTGGATGGAGGCTGTAGGAGAGGCAGGAGAGACGATGCTGCTGATGGTGTTAAACAGCACCTTGGGGTTCCCTTTGCTCTGGGACTCCAGGTTGGAGAAATAGGAAACCCTTGCATCTCTGACTGCAGAGTTAAAGGATGTCAGAAGATCCTTTAGGTGCAGCAGATGGACGTGGAGATGGGTTTTCTCCCACACCGCTCAATTTTTCTGCATTGGCGCTTCAGGCTGCGAAGACTGTCATTAAACCAGGGAGTAGGGTTCACTGCAGGAACTGATCTGGTTCTGACAGGACAGATGTTGTCCAGAATGGAGAGGCAGTGCTCGTTGAACTGAGAAGTTAAGGAATCTGGGTCGTTGTCAGAAGAACAGGGTGGATCAAAAGCAGCAGAAAAATTGCTAGCTGTACTCTCATTAAGAAAACGAGAACTAACCATACGGTGAGCAGGAGGTGGGGACGCAGAAACTGACAAGTTAAAGAAAATGCAATGGTGATCTGAAATATAAACGTCCTCAGGACAAACACTGTCAGCATTTAGACTCAGGGTAAAAACAAGGTCTAGAGTGTTCCCCGTGGTGTGTGTGGGGCCAGAAACATGCTGGGTAAAGCCGAAGGTGTCCATAAGGCTGGAGAAATTCATGGCAAAGAGATCAGAGGGATCATCAACGTGGATGTTAAAGTCACCAACAATCACCAGTCTGGACAGCTTCACAGTGGAGGATAGAAAGTCACTAAACTCCTGAAGGAAAGCACTGTTTGGACCAGGTGGACGATAGACCACAGCACAGTAGAACGGGTTCTTACGCCCGACTTTAATCAGCTGCAGTTCAAAGGAAGCAAAGTGACCAGAGGTTGTAGAGCTACATGGAAGATGGTCTCTGAAAACAACAGCTAGGCCTCCACCACGAACAGAACCCCGGGGCTGGCTAAGAAAAGAATAACCACTCGGGCAGAGTTCAATCAGACCAGAATAATCAGATGTTTGCTGCCAAACTTCAGTCGGAAACAGAAAATCCAGGCTTTTAGAGAGAATTAGATCATTGAGCAGGAAGGACTTATTGTTAACAGAGCGGGTGTTCAATAGGGCCATGCTGAGTGAGGAGGAGGAATCAGAAACTACAGAAACAGCTGGAGTTAGTGGACGTAAATTAGCAGGGTTAGATCCACGGTGTTTATAAAAAAACACTTATGGAGGGAACAGGAGGAGAAACCACTGAGGAATGAGGATAAACCGACCTTAAAAAACTTGGATGGATGAACCGCGTCCCAACGCGGCCTGGCGGGAATGTGGAAGTGGCGCTCAGGTCACCAAACAAAGGACAAGAAGCTAGAAGATCGCGCCGATGTTTACCAGATAAACCACGCTTTAAGAGAAGTCTTATCTCACCTGGATTCCTGCTCGTTAAAGTTAGAGTTAGCCTTGTTTAAATTGTTTAGAAATAAATCTTCTTAAACTTTTTTAAGAAGATTTCTATGGAATCTCATCTTCGATGGTTTCCTATGTAAGATGTAACTATTGATCCACGACAACAACAAAGCTGCAGAAGCCAAGTCTTTGTCTGAAAACAAAGAGGAAAGCATTTGTGTGTGAGGAACTTGTCGTTGTGGTCGTGTGTAAGTGTAAGCTCGAGCCAGAGCCATGTGTGCGATGTTCAAGAGACATCATCGTTTCTGTGAAAATACACTTTATTAAAGGACTTTGTTGAAGAACGCATAATGCAAGACAAAATGTAGATGTGTTAAATAAGAAATCAGTCAGTAAGTGATGATGCTTTGTACAGTGGCAACCCCAAGGGGTGGCGGGGGGTGGGGGGCTTGGCCACCCCTAGAAAATTGATTGATTCTTTACATTAAACAATAATGTAACACTTTATAAACAGTAACAGAGTAAACAAATAAATAAATCTTAATTTAAAAAATCTAGATAAGTTTCTGCTGCTTGTCATTTTCAAAACGGGCTGCATGGTGGTGCAGCTGTTGCCTCGCAGAAAGAAGGTTGCAGGTTTGAAACCTGGCTGCAGCCTTTGTGCGTGGAGTTGGAGTGGCTAAACTCTCCCAGAGTTACCATAAGGACTGATTCTGCGGGCCGGCCCAAAAATTTCTCTGGCTCCATCTGGCCCCCTGTGAAAAATTTCTGGGGTCGCCACCGGCTTTGCATGATGGATTTGATGAAAGGATGCAAAAACAGTGAAAAGGTTTCAGGATGGGAGATGAAAGCTGAGGATGGAAACCTGAAATGGACAAATAAAAGATGAAACCTGGGTCATGAAAGTGGAGTGTGGTAAATGTTTTAGTTATTTTAAAAATCAAAGTAAACATAGTAGTCAAAAATAGGTTAAAACATAATAGCTATTTTGGATGTTTTGTCATTGTTTTTATTTCAAACTCTGTTTACAGTCTTTGACTAAGACCATAGAACCGTTTTTGTTTTCATTGGTCGTATATATTTGTTTCAATTAAGTTATTTAAAGTTCAAAACACAGACCGTAAGTATTTAAAAATGTATATAATGATTAATAAAAAAATATTTGAAGCAGTGACGTCTCGTTTGCCTAATCCGCGCCCTCTCAGGGAGTCTGAGTGCGCATGCGCGTCAAAAGCGCGCAACCGCAGGCAGGGGGCGCGAACGCGGCGCTGTCACCTCCACGACCGCCGCACTGACTGCAGCCTGCCAATGAGAGGAGAGGAGAAAGAGACCTAGGATACAGGCTACCATTCCTACAAGGCTCCATACGGTTTTTTCTTTAGCCTTATGAGTCCCTACACATTTTCAGGAGGATAGAGTGAACTCTGAGGATTTCGAAAGCGCCGTTTCCCTTTGTTTTTTATTTTATTTTACCTCCCTTCGCAGTGGATGGTTTTAAAGCAGCAGCACCAGCAGACGCCCGAGCTTGCAAAGCAGGTGTGAGAGACAGCGGCGACCGCTCCTCTTCTCCCTGTTTCCAAGGGGAAATGTCGAGCGAGAAGCCGCTTTCAGTAGCACCGGGCGCTGCTTCTTTACTCACGGACACAGACCGAGACTCGCATCCTCCGTCGGGCTCCTCCGGGCAGCACCAGCAGGTCGTCGCCACCGCCGCCGCAGGCGCTGGCTCCAGCTCCAACGGGGACAGGATGGTGTCTGCAGCCGGCTCTATGGTTCTCCCGGCTGGGGTGATCAACCCCGCCGTTCCGATCAGGAATATCCAGATGAAATTTGCCGTGCTGGTGGGCCTGATCCAGGTCGGGGAGGTTAGCAACAGGGACATCGTGGAGACGGTACTGAACCTGGTGAGTGGATGCGAGGAAATATTAGAAACAGAAAGACGAAGCCATAGAAAACAGAATCGGTGCGCTCCGCCTGAGTCTCTATGTTTTATTTATGAAGCTTCACTCCCCCGGTTGTGTGGCTTTCAGGGGATGATGTCATGTATTTGTTCAGAACATCTAAGTGTGGTTTTTACATTTTCTGCTGGTAAAAAAAGGGACCATACAGAAGATGAAGGCTGTAGGAGGACAGCATGATGGTGTTTTAACGCAAAGCCCAGGGAAGAAGAAGCATGTGACCCCACCAAGGCTTTGGGGGAAGTCTAATCAGCAGCCATTGTTGACTAAATGACTAGTATTCTTTTGGGCACTTCTGTTTAAAAAGAAAGAAACAAACAAACAAAAAAAAAACATACGGTGTGGCTGCACTGGACCATTGTATGCTGGCTATTCTCTTGACCTCAATATGTACCCTGGAGTGATGCGGGAGCCGAAGCACGGTTACATTATTGCGCACAACACCGCGACTTGAATCTGCTCCCCTAAAGTGTGAATTTCCTGCAGGTGCGTGTGTGTAAAAACAAAAACTAATGTAACGTAGACAAAGGCCGACTAGCATCATGCTATCCAGCGACACGCACACGCGCTTGTGTGCATGAGCATGGCTCAAAATTATGCACAGGCCTGTTGTTGCAGGCAGGGCCCTGCATGCTGCGCGCTGAGGAGTGATGTATATGTAGCGTTTGGTGGTTTAGTGGTTAATATTACAGAGCATCACACAGTTTATTTATGGAGCAGATATAGGTGCCCCCCCATCTTTATTCATCCATGAGAGGTTGTGTGTGTCGGTGATGCTGGGCATGTACCCAACACAACACACCAGAGGACTTAATCCAGCTGGGACATGACTGGTGTGGGCTGTTACGAAACAGATGGGCAAAATGTACAGCAGACGCTCTAAAGTAGAGCTTCTGGAGGACGTAGGACGTTCCTCCCAAATTCATGCTTCATGATTGTGCCTTTGTGCTACCAGAAATAAGCTCTCATCAGTGATCCAGACATTTAAAAGTAAAAGTCAGTGTAATGTCTGCTCGAGACCAGACTATTTTTGGGCTCCACGTAGCTGGTGGCCTATTTTCTTTTCTGCTCCTGATGCTTTGGTGTTAGATAGCCCAAACCATCCTGATTCAGGTTATCTCCCAATCAATTATTGGTAGTGCTCAGAGCGGGCTTTGCTGCTCCAATCTTGTCTCTTTCTCCAGCAGCCCTGCAGGTTGCACAGGCTGATAACCTCCTCGGCTACCGCTTGGGAGGGACAGAGAGAGCAGTGATGCTGCATGCATAGGCTGGTTTGGCAGGGCAGCGCCATGCGTTTAAAAGCAGGTGGAGAGAGGGGGTTTGGAGGAGGGTGGGGGAGGAGAAGCGAGAGTGGAGGAGGAGGAGGTGGTAGGATGCTGCAGTGGCTATGTGCTCAGAAATCACCAGCTGATGCAGTGGAAGAGGAAAGGACTCGGTCCTCATCAGATCAGTGAAAGCTCATCCGAGCATTCATGTGAAACAAACTCCTCCATGTTTTATGTAAACACCCGTTTTTAGGCCAACGTGTTTTAATTGTGATTGTTGTTGTGATGCAATAACACCTCCAAAAAAAAAGCTCTGACGCCCTGACGAATGAAAGCAGTATGTGTTGGTCATATAAAGCATTTACCGGCTAAACCCTGAATTGAACAATCGGTTCTGAATTCGGGGCTGCCAATAGCTAAGCCTTTTGGGGAATTCTGTTGCCCAGCTCCTTAATTAAAAGAGTTGAAACAAAGAGGTGCAGAGGCAGGAAACCTCAGTGGTCATGCTGCTGGTACAATGAGGCTACTGTGACCCTAAAGCTGATCCAAATGTGCGAGACCGCAGCCGCCACGTTCTCCATCCAACCGGGGCCGTATTGATCAGATCCCGCTGCGAATTAGGCGAGCAGATGGATTCTTGGGTGTAAAAGATGCTCCTGAAAACGAGGCACATTATTAGTTCTACATGATATATCGCTTATACCTTTGTTTAGTGTTGGCCTATTGAGAGGCAGCTAAGAGGAGATTAATCAGACTTTAGTCAGCGTTCTGTGCTGATGTCCTCTTCTAAAGCTTTATTGGTAAACAATTAAAGAGACGTTATCATCCCTCAAACAGTAATGCAGCTGAACTTATTAATGATATTATGTTTGTGGGGTGCTGCTGGCTGCAAGTTGCTCAGTTATTGCCATCAGCAAGGCATCACAGTTGTCAAGGCAACGCTACTCGTTGACTGCATAGACGCTAGACCTCCTGGCGTTGTTTTCCGCTTCCGGACTCCTCACCCAGACCTCCTCTCCACGAATCTCCAGTTCTTTATCTAGCGCTATGTCTTGGGATGTATTTTTAACATGATTTGTGGATCTGGATGTTTCACAGCTGCAACAAACCCAGATAAGAATGACACAGACATGTTAAAGAGACAATGTGTAGTGTTTTTCATTCATTTCTGGAAACATCCACCAAAATGTTGTTAAATTAATTAAATGATGCCCAGTTGTTGAAAAATATTGGCGGCTTTGTGACATATAATCATAAAAATCAGGTCTACAATACATGACAGCGGGTCTAAGCCTCTATTATTAGATGCCATGTTTCCTTCTACGGGAGCCCAGGAGGACAAAATTCATTTACTGATTTGAAACAAACAGTTAGAAAATTTTCACCGTTCTTAAACTTTGTTGTTTTACACATTTACCTCTTCACTTGTTGCCAGTGCTGACGTTTGCACTCCCCAGGGCTTTTTGACCCTAATGGACATCCACTGGTAAGGTCTTTTTCCAACACAAAAAATCTGCTTGCTTGCAACAATTTAGGAATCTACTGCCCCTATCGCCAGGAAAAATACACACTGTCACTTTAAGGTCTGTTGTTTATGGAGAAACATCTAAAGATCTAAGATATTTGTTTAAAACTTTGATGCTGTCTTGGCCAACTCTACGTATCTCATGAACCACTGGGCAGGGTTTAATGAAACTCTCTGTGCAAGTTGTACATCTACATCTGGTAGAGGTTTGGAGCCTAACCAGAGTCTTATTCAAGATGGCCACCACAAATAATCATGCTTAGCAATGACAAAAGTGGCATTTTCTTGCTCTGTTTTGCAGATATTAAGCTAAGTTTAGAGATGCATGATATGAAAATTTGGGCCTAATGTGATTTTAACATTGTTGTTATGGCTGATAATCTGTATTTATCGATCATATTTATTAATAAATCTGAGCTGATTACTATCACTGTCACATGACCAAATAAATACTACACGAATACCCCCCACCGACCCCAAAACTCATTCACAAATGACAACTAGATGGAAATAAATATTGGTTTTATCAATAATGTCCCAGTTTTACTTTGGACTGACACTGACATCAGCTGATACTGGTGAGAAACAGCAGTGGAACTGTGCACCCCCCCCCCCCCCCCCCACCCCCACACCTCCGCTCTCACGAAGGAGCGCTGTGGGACACCCGTTAGGACAGTGGGAGGGTTAATAAATTCACTGTATGAATGAATGACTTGTGAGTCGTTTTCTGTGGAGATAAAGCTCTGGTGTTTCAGAAAGTGAGATCTAGTTGGATGAGTGGGGTGGGGGGGTGGGCAGAAAACGGCAGGATTTGGAGTCTTGATCATTAACATTTATGATGTGCGAACATCTTGCCTCTGATTGGCTAACAGCTGCACAACTCTTCCGCTGCCTGCATTAGCTCTTCTTTCTTTGGTAAAATACTGCTAGGCTGATGTGTTGTCTGTCCAAGTAACTAAAAGCGTGGATGGGTTCCGCCATGTTGTGGAGTTGCTAATGCTAATGGTTAGCTTCTACTACCTTGAGATGTGCTGTAAAATCAACGTGGCCTTCCCTGTCGGTCGCGAGCCAAGATGGAGAGTCTGTGATTTTGCTGCTTGACGTAGATCTGTGTAGCTTTTTCTGACACGAGCGATTACCCGTCCATTTACTTTCAGCGGCAAATGCAGGAAATGGGCACAGAAGGGTGTAACTCAGAGTGAGCAATAATATTTCCAAAAGAACAAATGCTATACATTTCTCAGTAAACCTCACCTTTAAAAAGTCACTAACATCGACTGATACAGATGTTGCTGATCCATCGTGCATCCCTTGCTGAAAGATGAGGGCACAATCAGTTGCAGGTTGAAAACCCAGCTGCAGCATTTCTTCACAAGGTTTGCATGTTTTCTGCATGCATTCATGAGTTTTTACTAGGTAGTCCAGCATCGTCCCACAGGCCAAAAGCAGCGCGGAACGGCAGCGGAATGTCGCAGCGTCAAATAGCGCCGCTAAAGATAGGGTCAGGTTCTATTTTCGCCGCGAGCTGCTTCTGGGACATGTCAATTTCTAAAGTTAATATAGGGCTAGACAGGAAATCACACACGGTTTCAGTGTAAAATCCCTGGTTATTTTCAAAATAAAAGTACTGCAGCGATGGAAATTCGTATACATGAAGCTTACGTTTGACCCAATGACTTAGTTACTCACAGCATCGTTCCAGAAGTGCAGCGGCGTGTTTTTTCATGGCTCTAATTTTAAAAGGAACACCATCCTAAATTACATCAAACAGCTACATTAAACGTGATTTCCTTCTTGTTGGTTGAAAGGCAGATTGCGTAAACAAACCGTTGCCTTTAAAGTCTCGAGAGATCTTGTGATCTTGCGAGTCCAGCGAGGAAGCCGTTTTACGGCCAAGGCTCTCCTGAAGTGAAATTGGCCTCTTTGAAGTTCGCGAGTAAATCGTTCCGCTGCCGTTTGGCGCTGCTGATGCTTCCAGTGTGAAACGGGGTAACCCTTAAGCTTGGTTTATGCTTGACGCATTCACTTTCCGCGCGGTGATGCGGCTCGCGGATGGAACGTGCTTCACAACTCGCAGCGTTTATGGTTCGTGCGGCTCGTCTCTGCGGTGAGCCAATATTCTCCCAAACTGAACGGGGCAGCATGGAGTTCTACGG